ATAAGTTCTTATTGGGCGGTTTGGAAGAAGTAGAGCTCGAATGTCGCGAACTGCAAATACCTTTCCAATTATGCTTAGGATCGGCCGTAGAATGCTTGCCAAAGGTGGTGCAATCGCAAAACATCAGTGCCGTTGTGTGTGATTTTACGCCGTTGCGCGTCCAAACACAGTGGGTGGAACAGGTGAAAGCGGCGCTACCTGCAGATGTACCTTTCACACAAGTAGATGCACACAACGTCGTACCACTATGGGTGGCCTCTGACAAGCAAGAATATGGAGCTCGTACTATACGTGGAAAAATTAATTCAAAACTATCGGAATTTCTCACCGAATTTCCACCAGTAATTAAGCATCCTTACAATAAGACCATAATGGCAAGCAGCAAGCAAGTAGATTGGAAAGCGGCTGAAGCATTCTTGCGGTGTGAACGTTCAGTAGATGCTGTAGAATGGGCAAAACCGGGCTACTCAGCGGCATGTGACCAATTAAAAAGCTTTTGTACGAAGCGTTTGCGCATATTTAGCGAAAAGCGCAATGATCCAACCATAAATGCCTTATCTGGACTCTCACCATGGTTTCACTTTGGTAAATATGCTAACTGAAAAGTCACATAAGATGATATATGTAGTTCTTTACTTTATCCTCTTCAAAACCGACCTGTTAAATAATGCATGTGATTAATTATCAATTCATAATAAAATTTAAAAAGCAAATAAAAAATAATTGGAAATAATAAAAAAAAATCAAATTTAATCAAAAATAATCAGAATAATAATTCATTACTTTTTTTATTTATTTTTGACCATTTCCAACTATTTTTTTAGTGGCAAAAAATCATTTTTTTATTCCTTCTAATTATAATTAATAATTAAATACCAGATTACAAAGGGAAATTAAAATGACCATTAAAATTACCAATGACAACTAATCATAATGATTTTTAATCCTAATCGAAATTAAACAGCTCTGCTTCAAATTATTTCAAATATGTATGTACCTATACTCAATTTATGTATATTTGTTAGGTCAAATTTCCGTTCAACGTTGTGTTCTAGAGGTATTGCGTCACAAATCAAAATACAAAGCATCTGTGGAAGCCTTTTGCGAGGAGGCAATCATTCGTCGTGAATTGGCAGATAATTTCTGTTACTACAATGAACATTATGATAGTCTGAAAGGCCTGCACGCCTGGGCGGCTAAAACACTTGATGACCATCGCAAGGACAAGCGCAGTCCTTCTTACACACTAGCCGAATTCGAGCAGGCGCGTACGCACGATGATCTTTGGAATGCTGCACAGATTCAGTTGGTTCGCGAAGGCAAAATGCACGGATTTCTGCGCATGTATTGGGCGAAAAAGATATTGGAATGGTCTGCTACACCCGAAATGGCTCTAGAAACCGCCATTCTTTTTAATGATAAATATAGTTTAGATGGACGAGATCCGAACGGCTACGTAGGTGAGTGTAAAGATGAAATTAGTAGAAATAGTGTATGTATGTAATAAATAAAAATACATACAAACAAATAAATTTTTTTTTTCAGGTTGCATGTGGTCAATTGGCGGTGTGCACGACCAAGGTTGGGCCGAACGACCAATTTTCGGAAAAGTGCGTTACATGAATTATAAAGGTTGTCAACGAAAATTCGATGTTGCTGCCTTTGTAGCGCGTTATGGTGGCAAAGTATATAAATCAAAATAAAAGTATTTATTGTTTTAAAAACAACTACATAGTAGTACCTAGGTAGTCCTCTAAGCTGTTGCTTGAATTGTTTTTGTTATTAAATCCCATTTACTAATATGCACGCCGAATCTCGAAGAAACATCTACATACGTACCTACAAAAATTTGAACCTTTCAATCTAAAAATATTTTTGTACACTATTTTTATAAATTTTTGTCTTGTGCTATCAGAAACTTAATAAAGAATAATAGAAAATCTATACCATTTTTACTTTCCGGATATGTTTGAATAGCAAAGCTTTATGCGATTCCTATGCATTCAGGAATTATCAGCATTAAACACTTTGCCTATGATTTTATTACAAAGTATTTTGTATATAAAAGAGCGGAAATCCGTTTCATGCCCAATTTTTTTTACCAAGAATTTGTAAAGTGCAATGCGAGTAGATATGGTGCAAAGTGTCGATTATTTTAATCGATAAACTGGGCTTTTCAAGAATGGCTTCATTCTAAAAAGATACATATGGTATAAAAAGTGTTAAGTTTAAATTTTTAGCTGCATAGGCAATACACACATATATGTATGTAAGTACTATATAAGTTAAGGCAAAAAATAAAATTGGAAGTGCAATTAGTAAAGAATTTTCTATAGTAGATATATCAGTTATCGATAATAAAGTAACTTATAAAAATTAAGAATGCCGTTAGCAGCCGTTAGTGCAACCAAATAAAGCTTTCATCTCTATAAAATAAACAGTTGTGAAATAGATGGGCGCGCATTCAAATACAATTTGGTAAATATATGAATTTTGCGAAGGTAATAATTTCTACCAGCAGTGTTAAATAATACTGTGGCGAATACTGCGGCAACACAAAGCGAACAACGAGAAATAGGCA